CTCTTTCCCTGATTGGTTGACAGATGGGTCAGTCGGGTTGCCTGGGGAGAGGCAATTTATCTCGCATGACAAAGGGTCAACTTCAAACTCAAAGAGGATGTTTTAACGATGGCAAAGTACAGCCATCTCATGCTATTAGGCCTTCCTTCTGAAGAAATAAAAGAACATTTTAAGGGATGTTGCCATCCTGGTGCGGTTGTTGATCACAGAGCTTTTTCTGGAGATCTACCTTTTAAAGGGCAATGTGCAGTGAATATAAACAAGTTGCGTGCTTTCAGAAGAAAGGCCACTGAGCCTTCAGGGCCGATGTGGGGGGTCTTCAGTCATGCCATATCTGTAGGAAGCACCCCTTCACGACGCTGTCTTTCAGTGTAGCTCAAGAAACAACGTTTGCAGTTTCGCTGTTGGTGCCCGCTAATGATATTACTGCATTAATCAATGATTTGATGTGCCGTGCCACAAGTGCATGTGTAAGCCAGATGCAGATGATGAAATGACATTTTCTTTAACCCAGGAATGCTAAAATGAAATATTCTGCAAAAACATCCTACTTAAAACCTTTCTTTTTTTTTGATGTTCGTTCAGGTTCAAACAGACCTTATCCAGTTTAATAATTAGGCTGGTTGAGTTTACAAATGTCACACAAACCTAAATCCCATTAAGAAATCGCATTAGTTCCAGGTGAACTTGTGCAAATTCTGTCAAGTTTGTCAAGGACTTCATATGAAGCAGTAGATAAACAAGCAGGGCCAATTAATAACAAATGAGCACTCTCCTTGCTTGCCTAAAGGAGTGTTCGAGCTGTGTGGCTTGCCAAAAACTAGCAAAAGGTGAGCATGAAATGGACAGAGAAACTACCTGAGAGTTTCTGTCTAATAAAACAAGTTCAAAGAAACACTTTCACAGAAAGATTGAGAATTATCTACTAGAGTTTATACATCTGTAGTTATTTAACATTTATCATTAACTTTTGATGGCTGTTCACTTTAAACCTTCGAAATAAGCTGTAGCTGTCAATTTTTAATCTTAAAGCACCTTAAAGAGATCGTTCCCAAAAATTGCATTCTGTCATCATTCACACATCTTTCCAAATTTGTGATTGGAAAGAAGTTTGAAAGTAGATATTTGGAAGAACGTTTTTGTCCATACAATGAAGGTCAGTGGGGTCCAAAACTGGACAAAACATGCTTTTCAAAGACAAGTATTTTCTTTCATATTTTGCAGAATAAAGCAAGCCAAAACATTTCAAATAACATGAGAGTTGGAAAATTATGACAGATGTTTCATTTTTGCATTAACATTCCCTATAAAGTTTGTTCCGGAGTAAACACAGCATTTACGACAAGACACAACTAGCTTTTTCTTTGTTCTGCTCAATGTATGATAATATATAAAACATTCAAACCTTTTAAGACCATGAAAGAGGAGTCATCTAAATCAGAATTCAATTAGAGTTGTTGTCGAGAATAATTTCAGGATAGTTTGTCGTAAAGTTGAGGGAAAGCACAGGGGTCTAACAATCAAGGCAGTGATGCTCCACCAATGCTCTTTCCCAGGCCTAATAAATAAAACAAGAGTACAAAACAAAGCGATTTCTTTCCAGATGATTTGGTTTCACAAGGAAGCAGCTCTGAAACCAAACCAGGGCTCTCCGCACAGGTGCAACACTGTGGATTAACAAATAAGACATTCCTAGAGAGCTCACGGCATGTCTCAGGTTTGTTGATGTTTTGCTAAGCCTTGATCTTTATGCCTGGTTCCTGTCTGTCACTTCTGTAACTGGAAGCGGAGGAGAGACAAACTTGTGCTGGCCCAATTTATTGCCCAACTACATAAGTATCAACCGCAGATGAAGGCTGTCTGGATTACAAATGGAAACGCATGACTGAGTGGCACTGCTGTCAAAACATGTGCAATTGTATTGGACAGTGCCTGACACATGACATTATGAGCACATCTGGCCTTCCATCGCTCCTGCCTTATATATATTCAGCGTATAAATCGCGAAAGAGTAAAATCTGAACAAGTTGATCAAATTTAAATTAACAAATTCCCATGGCATAACTCATAGTTGAAAATTCAAAACATTTCTAGAAACGAACCTCTCTTTCTGGTGTTCATATTTTCAAAGCTTCTGTCAAATACCATGATAGATTACAGTCAAGGCACATTACGAACCCTCAGGACTTTGAGGACTCCCAAATGATGTTGCCTTCGTTCTTATGGTTTCATGAGAGGAAAATAAGGGTAGGGATCAGACCTCAAAGGAATATTTCAAAGGCATATCTCCTCTCTACTGATGACTGTCAATGTAATAATCTTAGGCACACTATATTGCCATAATAACATTCTGATTCTAAAGCAGCCTATGCATGACTGTTTTGTGTTTCAAATTAGAGTCAGCCTAATGAGATTTTAATTAAACAATGAGAGACAGCTGTGATAGCTGATCAAAAAAAAAGAGAAAAAAAGAAAGAAAGAGAGAGACATAAATAGATTCATGACTCAGATAAGCATCCTGCAATATTATTTTACCATGTTCATTTGAAACCGCAGAGGACAAACTGGGAGCAAATCTGAAATTAACTTGAACAGCTGCTGATGGCTTGTAAACAAGCAACAGATATTTAGGAAATAATAATCCAAATATAACAAAGGTCCCCCTAAAATAATAATGCAACACTTAATCTCTCAAAAGAAACAGCCAGAAGAAGACACACCTTAACATAGATTAAAATGGAATAAATATTTCCATTGCTCATCTTTCCAGTTCTGCCATACTTTTTCTGATTTACAGTATATACTGCTAAAAATAATAATAATTAAGCATAATAATTAAAAGACGACATTGAGGAATATCTACAGTATAAATAAAGA